GTGGATGCACTCTTAATGACAGCTTTATAGACCAAACATATTTAATCATTAGTTGCACCTCTATTGTTATCATTATTGTATTTAAGGTTCATAAACTAATGATAAAATAAAATGAAATAGTGTAAATTAGTTGATTATAAATGTAATTGTTACTTACAGCTGTTCTATAAAGGTTATTATTATTATTATTATTATTATTATTATTATTATAAGAGGAGTCAATAGTTGCAGCTCTGATGTCAATAACAACACAAACGGACACATCGTTACCGTAAAGCTGAGAATACGGCCACCCTCCGGTTGGACCACCGGCCGGTTCTTCCGCCGCAGTGAGTCGCTGCTTCACCGCCGCTCTCAGCACCTGGACTTTGGACATTTTCACACCAACTTTCCCTCCACTTCCTCCGTCGCTACATCGCCTGCTGTCCGTCGAACTGCGCCGCTCAACTGCGTCCCCGGCGGGCTGCTCCCGGCTAGCATGCTACGCTAACGTCGGTAGCTGCCGGTTAGCGGTAACATCCGGTCCGTTCAGAGCCGTTAATCAGACCCACGGAAGCTCCGTGGACTCAGCCAGAACCGAGGAGTCAGTGGGCCCGGAGCGGACACACACTCAGAGGAGACACCGGGTCTCTGTTTACACCGTCGCCGCTGCTGCTGTTGCGTTGAGCCGCCATGTTGATTCAATCCCATCATGCATCTGTGGCTGGAGCCGAGTTTCAAAATAAAAGCCCTGGTGCGTTACTATTTAGAATAAAGCTGAACTAAACTAAAAAGTCTATTTTAAACAGATTTTTTTGAGCGTGAATGTTTACACTTCAATTTGGAAACTGGAGCTTGAAAAATAATCCGGTTTACTAAGTTCTGATTTTACACAGATGTCAATAAATTACATTTAAAATATCATTAATACCATAATGTGTGTAAATTTGATAACTGTTCACCGTAAACAGAAAACAATAAATACACATAATAAAATACAAAATGTAAGTCAAAAAAGCTTGTAAAGTCTCCATTTTTTGTAGTATTGGTAACACCTATGTGCACATGCTGCTTCCTGTTTGTTCAACTTTTGTAAAATGTCTAATTAAATTTTATTATTTTCCTTTTTCCTCTTTTTAAAAAAAAATATTTACAGCATTAAAGCTATGTCATACTGAATAGAAGACATTTCTGAGTTCTCTCTACTTCTATTTATGGTTGCGTTGTTTTCATAGAGGTTCAGGACTTTATGTTGTGGTGAAAAAGTAAAGCTGTGATGAGCAAAAATGTGACAGGAGCAACAAACATCTAGACACTACTTAGAGTTCAGAGGGTTAATCTGCCTAGTTCATCAGTCTACCACTACTGCACAAAGTTATTTCCGCTGTGATGCTTGTTTTGAAACTCTGTTACTAAAACAAAGTTTTCTGATAGCGGCAGTGAGGGAAAACAAAAAGTCGAAACTCGTTTCTCACTGAACATTTATTAGAACTGTTTGTTGCAGCTGCTGCCTCCAGACTGACTGACCATCTTTATGTCCAAGAGTCACCATCAAAGTCACTTTCATGCGATGGAGCAATTTGCAGCCAGACGTTCGGGGGAACACAGATCCCGTAACACAGTTAAAACACTGAAATGTCATTTTGTGCATAATGACAACCGTACAATAATAAAAACTGATTCATTTAGAGGAGCTTTTAAAAAAATAATTCCACTGGATACACTCGTGAACTCTGTGGAACAACTGACTTGTCAAATCCTGTCTTAATGAAGTTAGAACGATCATTACGTGGAGCTTCGCAGGGAGGTAAGAATATGTTGATGCACATTACAAGATGCGTACAGCCAGTGCATGTACCACAGGTTAAGTGTTTGTTTACAGTGAGCACAGTTTTTCTTCACATTAATGCACAGAGATTGTTCCAGAATGCGAACATGAGAGTTTCAAGCCTCACTTTGCCTTTATAGGTATCAGTCACACAATACATTAGCATAGCTGCTTCGATATAGCTATTAATGTGACTCAGGCAGGCCTGAAACATGTTACAGTAATGTCTGAAACCATAACAACGCTCTGGTTTCATTTACTGTTATTCAGGACCCTGCAGAAATACTAATACACCTACAGAGGTTCTGTTTGTTGCCCACAGGTGGCTGAACTTTTCCACTGACATTAACAAATGCCCACAGCATCACATATCAAGAGAAACCATGAGTACGTTTTTACTTGAGAGTGATTCGCATTTACACTCAGCAGCAATAACTTCACAAATGTAGGATCTGATGGTAAATAATGTTCTTCTGTTATTTCCTGTTTACTAAAAATAACTGGGACATTACAACAGACAGATTCCTCAACAGGGTTCATAAAAGGAGGACATATGTAATATTAACTTGGAGGGCTCTGCAGCTTCAGCTGGTGCTTTCTCCAACACACTTGTGACTTTTGACCTGTGACTGCCATGTGAATCTTTTATCGCACACACTGCAGCCGAACTGCTTCTGTCCAGTGTGCACTGAGAAATGATATGTTAGATTCGCCTTCTGAGAAAAGCTCTTTTCACACACTGGGCAGCTGTAGGGTTTCTCCCCTGTGTGAACTGTCATGTGTTTCTTCAGGCCTCCTTTCTGAGTGAAACTTTTCTCGCAGTATAAGCAACTGAACGGTTTCTCCCCTGTATGGATCCTCATGTGGTTCACCAATGCACTCCGTACAGCAAAACTGGTTTCACAGAACGAGCAGCTGAACGGTTTCTCTCCTGAGTGACATCTCATATGCCGGATTAGGTTTGGCCTCTGAGAGAATCTTTTGCTGCACACGGAGCAGCTGTACGGTTTCTCTCCAGTGTGGTACCTCATGTGTCTCCGCAGGCTGTCTTTCCGACCAAATTTTCGGCCACATTCGCTGCAGATAAACAACTTTTTTCCACCTTCGTTTACCGAAATGCTGTGATCTTGCACAGAGTCTGGTTCAGGTTCTCTGCTCTGCTTACAGTCATCGTCACTGATCTCGGTCTCTGGTTCAGAGTCTGAAGCTTTGTCTCCACTAACTGGCTGTAAATGTGGTTCTGGTACTGGTTCTCCCACAGAGTCTCTGTTCTCCTCGGTGTGGCTGTGATGAAGCTGTGAAGACTGAGGTTGCTCCTCATCATCTTCACTCTTCACAGGGACAGGCGAGGAGGGGAACTCGGTGATATCAGCCTCCTGACTGCTCCACAGCTCCTCCTGCTCCTCTTTAATGTGAGCGTCCTCCTGGTCCAGACTGGAGCTCCTCTCATGCTGCTGCTCTACATTCACAACCACCTGCTGGACATCTGATGGACACACTGAAACACAGGAAAGCACACGAATATGGTGAGTCAGTTTTAATCGTGTATGTCAAGGAGTTTACCAGACCTCCATAGGACACTAGCAAAGACCTCCAGTTTACATTAGCAATGGCAACAGTTAACTGTAGCTAATGGGCTGTTTACATTAGCAGTAGCAGCAGCCAATAGGTTGTTTACCTTTGCAGCTAACTGTTACTAACAGGTTGCATAATACTTTAGCAGTGGCAATTAACAACAGCTAACGGGTTGTTCACATTAGCAAAAGCAGCAGTCAACAGGTTATTTACCTTAGCAGCAGCTAACTATAGCTAATGAGTTGTTTACA